GACTGTTCTGTGGTGAGATTAACTAAGAAACAGAGCCTGGGCACTGAAATGGCTTCCAGAAATGGATAATTTGTCTCACTAATAAGGAAGCAGAAAGTGTTTTTTTTTCCTGCACTGGTAATTTTAAAATTGCAATTTCTGTCTACTTGCAGCAACATCACATATTTCCTGCTTTGAAACTGCTCTGGCAAGAGTTGCTTCCAGTGTATTTGCTTTATGCGTTGTATGCTTTAATTGCTCGCAGGCCTGATGCAGGGGTGTAGATCTGAGCCAAAGCTGGTACTGTTTCTCTAACAGTAGCAGACTATTAACTTCTATTCTAAAGAATTTCTGTACAGTGTCAGCTACTTCAGCTTTTTTCTTTCTCCTTCTTTTCCCTGCCTGCTCCAAATAATTATTCCTCTAAATTGAAATACATTTTTCTCAAATTATATTCCTCATTTTTGTTGCTTTCTATAGAGCCTTCTAACAGCCTATCAAATTAACTCCTTTTGATTTGTCCTTAGGACATTGGAAAGCAATAAAATTTACCCCTGAAGTCTAGATAGTTATTGAAAGTGTCTTTACCACAGCTGATGCTACGGTTTTATGCCTTTAAGCTTCTGATGCATATTCAGACTTTCAAAAGGCAAATTAATGTGTCCAGAAGAAGCAGCCACGCACCTGTTTCACCATTAGGTCATGTCTAGTACTATGAGCTGCCATCATAAGGGCAGTCCGACCTGTAATATATTGGTGCTTATGTTTAATGTGATATTTTTGCAAACAATTATTTTATGCCAACCTTAGATGTGTCATTTCAGTATAGTAATACAATAAAAAATATCATAAAAATGCAACTTGAAAAGAAGTGAGAAATTTTACCGAGGAAGGCATTATGAGGAAGCAATTCACAGTAAAAAATTACTTGTGATTTTACAAAGCCAAATGTACAAGCAGAGTCAATTGTTAAGATGCTTTTGCTGTATAATTCAGGATGTGGGGAGGACAGGGGGGTGCAGGTCTCTCAAGCATTATTCTTTCCTTGCTTCCCTGTTTATAGATCCTTCCCTTTTAAAAATGATTCATACATAGGAACAGGCATCTCCCAGCAAAACTTTAGAAACCTTTATAGGTCAGGGTGTGGACATTGTGAAATGTTTTACCAGCTCTTCTACCTATTCTCCCTGCTTCAATAATAGCATGCAAACACTGTTTTTAGCAGTGTTAAAAATGCTAGATTTTCTTTTCTTCTCCTTCTGAAATGACTTCATTAATTTTGCATCTGTATTAACAAGGCAGGCAAAATTTTGCATTCTACAGAAATGCCGCCTTCATAAATAAGGAAGAAACCTGCCAATGTGTGGCCACATCACCAGAAAGAATGTGTGATTAATAGCACAAACCATTACTGCATTACCTCATTGCAAACTTCTTCCACAGGATCAACAATTCACGTACCAAACCTGCGTACTGTAATATACCTTAATAAGTTTTAACATTTCTACAAGTGAAATGAGCTATGACTCACACCCATTCTGGAGTGCATTCAAGGCTGTTATAAATCACGTTGGAGGATTATTTAGTGCAGGACTTCCTTAAATGGCAGGTGAAACTACAAGAAGTGATTTGTGAATGCTGATGGTTTCAGCCTCCTTTTATAGGCTGTGAGTTCCTGTGTCTTGTTAGTTTGCAAAAGTATTGTTACATCATTCACTTAGGCTTAGAAATGACATTATCTCCTACTGATATTTTTTTGCTATCCTATTCCGTTTATGGGAAGTAGAATATATTCACTTCAAGTGTGTTATTTTGTATTATACTTTACATTTTTTAAATTGCAGTTTCTTTGGCTCAGTCTATTCTTTGATGTTGAAACAGCACTTCTGTGTATATTTAATACTGAAGTAGAATAAATACCAGCTAGCAGAGTTCAATTAGTTTTAATACAATGAATTAATAAAATAATTTTTCAAGGAATACAGGATCAAACTCCTGAAGATTTCCTTTCCTTCAGGACACTGATCTGAGACTAAAAGAAAGAAGCACGTATGCCATCTCTTTTTAAAAAACTTTTTTAATTTCCCAAATACTACAAAAGCACCAAAGACACGCAGGCACAGTGTCCTGTACAGAACTAATTGTAGTAGGGCGATTGGCACATGTAAATTGAAGAACACCATCAAAGTCTGTGCAGGGCCTTGACCGGCAGTACACGCTTGAAATGAATCAATCAAATTATCTCTTCAGTGCAATCAGATACAGAAAGGATTGCTGTAACTAGAGAACGGCTCTTTGCGGAAGCTGTATTATCTAATAGCTGGGGTAAGTGGAAGCTGTGAAGTGATGAATTCTAATCTAGTTGCTATCAGTGACTTTCTTTGCAGCCTTGAGCAAGCTGTGTCATCTCTTTTTCCAATTTCTCAAGCAATAAAATGGGAATGATAATACTACCCCCATTCATTATCTCCCTAACTTCATCTCTCAGCATGTTGTGAGAGTATAATGTTAACAGTGCATGCAAGTGGTAAATATTAGTATGATTATTTATTATTTAGACCTGCCCTAAATACATTTAGAAATGCATAGCTCATCTACCAGAACACAAATTCAGAAATAACAAATAACCACTGGATATTGGGCAATATATGGCCGGTGACACAGTGTCATAAGCTGTTCAACAAAGAAGAAATCTGCAATTATACATAGCATTCTAAAGCCATGAAAAATTCTCCAGAAATAAGCAATTTTTGCCATAGGATACTTGCTTTCATTTGGCAAACAGAATGTAATGTAACTAATATTTATATGTTTAAGGCTAATTGGTTTACTTCACTTATTAAAAGACAGCAACTTGAATGGATGTGTTAGAGCCACCGATGTGTGATGATGTTAGTAAATGGAGTGAACTACAAGGTCGGTGTTGTGAGCTGTACTGGTCTGGCCATTACAGAGTGCAATACCACAGTTGTAAGAGAAGGGTAAAAGCATCAGAGCAGTGGAGTGGAATGGGAATTCTGCTAGGTCTTAGCCAGTACCATTTGGAGCATAGCTGAGCGTAACAGGAATGCAGGGAGCGCATCTCTCTCCTCTGCATGAGAGGACGCTAGGACATGAGTAAAGCCAATGCATTGCTCAAGAACGTGAAATAAAGACAGGAGTGTTCTGTAAAGCACTTCAATTATTCATTTTTCCTTCTTCTTTGCTGGTAGTTTAGCACAATCAAAACCTAGCACAAAGCATAGATATTTTCCTTTGATTTAGAAATAAGAGGCTACTTAGATGTTTCCGTAATTATTTATATCACAGCAATGCGGTTATGCCCTATAAATCTGATAAATGAATATAGCTTTAAGTAACACAGAAATATTCAAGAAAACCCAGGCACATTTTGTCCAGATGCTACAAACACCAGGTCTGGCTTGTTGGATCTGGTAAGCCATAAGGAAGGACATTGTTAATTAGCCAAGAGTTACTAATCCTGTATTACAAGTTTTACCCAATTTAAAGAAACCATTAGGTAATCCATTCAATGCTTTTGGGATCTCTTTGTGCAACAAGGGTGGAGAGTTGGGGGGGGATGAAGGGCAATCATGAACTGGTCCTAACATGCCAGTAAGAAAACATTGTATCATACAGATGGACTTTGTTTATTTTATATCTGCATTTTCTTTGAAATTTTCACTTTCATTTGTGA